CAGAGACACACAATGACACACAAAAACACACTTGCAGTGTGTGTTGGACAGTGTGTATTGATACCTGTGTGTGCATGTCTGGCATTGTGTAGCGTGTTTGGCAGTGAGTATCATTGTGCATCTGTGAGTGTATATCCTGTGTGCGCATGTGTATCTGTGACTGTGTCTGGAAAGCATATCTCTGTGTGTCTGTATACCACTGTGTCTGGGAGCGTGTATGTGTGTGTGTGGGGGCTGCATTTGGTCTCGATGTGTGTTTATAGCAGATATCCTATAGACTGTAAGCTCGTTTGAGCAGGGTCCTCGTCAGCCTATCATTTCTGTAAGTTTTCTTGTAATTGTCCGATTTATAGTTAAATCCCCCTCTTATAATATTGTAAAGCGCTACGGAATCTGTTGGCGCAATATAAATGCCAATAATAATAATAATATGACAGGGATGGGATAGAAGAATGTTATGTAGATATCTGTTCTCTAGTGTGTAGTATGACTACATCATTTGTATAGTGATGTGGTTGAATGTTATTATGCTGTGTATGAAATAAGGCTATATTATCTTAAATGACTATGGTTCATTTTTCAGTTTAGTTCCTCTGCATGCTATAATAACAAGTTTGAGAGCTTTATCTTTCGAATTAAAATGCTGGGAAATATAAATTGTAAACGTTTGATGGTTTGACCGACCTTTGTGCAGTGCCTGTAGAATTCATTAAATCATGCTAAATGTCCATGTTTGAAGACTTTAGTGAATTTTAGGTGTGGGTTTTAGCTATTAACAAACTAGAAAGTAGGAGAATGGGAAACACTCAAAACTTTAGCATGTCTGAGTTGTGCATTTCCAAGCACAGGTTATGACCTATACAGTTCTTTCCAGCACAGGGAGAAGATTGGGCGTAGGTCTTTTACCCCTACATCCAGCCCCTTTCTTAAGAATTTTTTTTTTTTTTTATATCCACCAGGGCTAAAGTAGCATATTTAAAAACAGGAACACTGATAAATTACCGCCTGTAAAGCTCTGCATGTGATTCATATGGAATGCATTAAGATAGCTGTCCTACTTGCGATCTCGTCATTTGACCTATGTTTGCTACTACATGTTTTTTTTTTTTTACCAAGTTGCTGTATTTTAAACATGATTAAACACAAAATTGGTTTCTTTTAATAGGCATGGTCAGCTACGCATTTGATATGTATTTCAGTCTTAAAGGGACACTACAGTCACCCAGACCACTTCAGCTCAATGAAGTGGTCTAGGTGTCAGGTCCCTCTAGTGTTAACCCTGCCTGATGTAAACATAGCAGTTTCTGGGTGAAGATGGATTTTTTTTTTTTTTTTTAAAGTGCGTCGGTTATTATGGATATTTTATTTGGCCTTTTTTGGGGCTGAAAAAATTAGATTTTAGAAGAAAGAAAACATAAAATGGTTTTATTTTTGTTTTACATGTACTTAGTTAAAGGTGCCCCCCCTCATTATTTTTAGGGTGAGGGGTGTATAGGTAGGTGTTCATTTTTTGGGGGGGAGGGGTGACTAGGGGTTTGGGGACCCCTAGTCACCTGGGGGGGTTACAATTTTTATTTAGGGCCTCCACCCACCGCTCAGGGGTGGGGGTAGGGGGGGGAGGACATTAGGTCCCCCCCCTTATATTACTGTAGGGCCCCCACCCACCGCTGAGGGGTGGGGGACATTAGGTGGTTCCCCCCTTATTAGTATTTAGGGCCCCCACCTGCTGCTCAGAGGTGGGGGCCAGGGGTGAGGACATTAGGTCCCCCCCCTTATTAGTATTTAGAGCCCCTACCCACCGCTCAGGGGTAGCGGTCAGGGGGGAGGACATTATGTGCCCCCCCTTATTAGTATTTAGGGCCCCACCCACCGCTCAGGGGCGGGGGGAGGACAATAGGTCCCTCCCATCATTTTACTTTAGGGCCCCCACTCGCCACTCAGTGGTGGGAGCAACAGGTTAGTTTAAAATCCCCAAGTCGCGCATCGCGGGTGGGGGGACTTTTGTTTTTACCAGTCAGCAGGCACAGGCTGCTCACTGTTTAATAGACATGCCCTTACTCGCGGTACAGGGGCAAAATTTACTAATACTAAGTAATTTTTACTTAGTATTAGTAAATTTGGCTGAAAGACCAATTTAGGTTTTTCAGCCTTTTGGTAGATAACTCCCTAATACCGCAGGAATTAGAGAGTTATCTACTAAGCGGCTGCCACAGAAGTTACAAAGTCCCGAATGGCTGAAATCCCGAATTTCTGAATGCCGAACCAAACCAAAAATTTTCCCCATGCACATGCCTACTTTGTATTACTGTCAATTCACACTTTAATGAATATCCTGACAGCCTTCATTCTCTAAACAAGTGGAAAAGGTGTAACTTCCCTTCAAATGGAACCTGCCATGCCCGTGGTGACTAGCTTTTAAAAGACTGTGACGGAGCTCCTGTACTCTGAGTACCCCCACCCAGTCCGCTTACTACCCATTTGCAAGGATCCTGGAATGCTTCAGCCTCAGTCGCTGAAGTTTGACTGGGGTCCCTCTGGAGCTTTTCCATCCGACCCAGCTCCAGCTCTTCATCCAGGCAGGTATCGTCTCCCTCTGCCTCTTCCGCTGCAGCCCTTCTTCCAGGCAGGTATCCACAACTGCCTGCAATGTTATAGCTCTTGTCTTTAAAAAGACAATTGCAGCTCTCGGGCCTTGCTCTCTTGTCCAAGAATCCAGAATCCAAGCAGCCAGCCCACACGTCCGAAGACTGACACAAGTTTCAAAAGGAACTGACATACAAAACTTTATTGTTCTCGGGACTAGCCCATATGATAATTACATAAAGTTTACTGTGACAACTCAACAAAAATACAAACAGTGAAATCATAGCAGACAACACACAGCAACTTTTATAACACAATGACATTTATAAAGGGATGGGGAAGACAATTAACAGAAAATATCTTGCCTACCTGCTGAATTAGCAATATGCAAATCTACCCAAATAAGCAAATTAACCAGCCTTGCTATTCAGGTAGTGCATATTGCTGTTGCTACCAACAGAGGGCATTACACAGGCTCCATAGCCAAATCCACCTAGTTGGTAGCAATCCTCAGCAGTATAGGAGAGCAGTTAAAACATTTAACAGTATACACACTGTTAAATGTCCAGGTGATGGTGACTACCGCCACAAAGAGCTTCTAACTCCATCTACATTTTGTGCCAACAAAATTTGCTAGCAAAAGTATAGATTGAGAGAAACAACTATTTGAAACAAGGGTTTTCTCCAATCTGTCTCATTTCCTCAGCAGACACTCAATGCCGAGGAATTGAAGGACAGGAAGAGCAGAAGAGACCTTGAGGTCCCTATGCTCTCCACCAATAACAACAACAGTGCATGCTGTTGTTGCTATGGTAACTTTCTAGCCAGCACTACCAGCACCAGCTTGGGAGTATATGAACGGAGTGACAAGACTTCACTCAGATCATATGCTGACACACTGGCAACGAAGCTAGTGTGTCCACATCATGGAGGAGGTTTGTCCTTCTTGGGGAAGGCAAATCAATGGAGAGCTGAGGAGATGTGCGGATGGACTGGAGGTGGGTGGAACACCAACCATTGTAAGGAGAGCGCAGAGGGGAACTGGAAAGCCAGAAGAGTGGCCGCAGTTTCCCTTTAAGCTTTCTATTAAGATAATTTTTCTTATGTTAAGCAGCAGCTTAATAACTTAAAGCTTCCATTTTAAAACTTTTTTTCAGCTGAAATTCAAAATGTCAATAATATTTGTATAAACTAATTAGTGTAAAGTGAATTTTTGTTTGTTTGTTTGTTTTGGCTCCTCATCATATTAATGATACCATTATAAACTCCAATGTTCAAATGTTACATGTGTTGATCAGTGTAATATCATTAATAAATGACTGTATCAAGACAATATTTAGCTAAATATAACAAACGTAATACTACTGTAAAGAAAATTGACACATCAAATACTTGTGGCTTGTATTTCTCTTTACTTATGAAATATTAAATCTACATTCTCCATAAAGGAATATGACTTGGTAAATAAATGATTACTAGATTTTAGTTTTTAAACCATAAGATTATAAAGCTAGTAATGTAATTTTGAAGAACCGCTGTTCCCCCATATAGTTGAATGAACCCAAAGCAGATTCAGTATCAAGTCCTTTGACAGTGATGGCCAATGTCAAATATTTGTGAACTTAAATTTTCCATAATGCTCAAACATGCAAAGCGTCTGCAGTACCAATGCTAGCTTCCACTGTACTATGAAATGTCCATATTCATATCTGGACAAATTGGGGTTTACCAAAATTGAAATTGTTTAAAACTAATAAGGATTGCTAAAAGCCCAATTAGATAAAGTCCTTATCTTAGCTATTTAGAGCATAACTTTTTAATTGTCAATTCTCAAAACTTTGGCTTTAGTGAATAAACCGATAAGAGACTAGCCATTCAATTTGTATAAATTATTCTGAGCTGCATTTCACAACAGTGGCCACTCTAAGAACAATACAGAGAAAGGCACATAAGATATCACAGTAACAATGAATACTGAACCAAACTCATGATGAAATTCTCTAGTGCTGAACTATATCTATTAGAATGGTCCAAATGATATCAAAGAGCCAGAAAGCCTCTATTATGTGGAATAGATATGTACATTGAGATGACATCTAATGTGACTAACCTATGTATCCTATGACAATCATACATTGGTGTGACTTTATAGTCCTGATATGCCTTTTTGTAGGTTATCAAAGTTTGAGAAGAAAACTACAAAAGCAATGAAACAAGCCTAGCCTAAGAGTTTTAAAAGGGGGTTACAGAGGTAAGTAAGGCTTAACCCTTAAATTGATTATTAAAGACAAATGAGGATGGTTAACTCCTAAATGTAAGGAGAAAAAACAGCAACAAAAAGATACCTTAATGTAAAAATGTAATATAGGGTAATAAACTTTATTGAAAAAAGGCACATACAAAATGTGTGTATCAAAATTGTGACGTGAAAAGCTTAAAATAATGGGATGACTAGAAGTACTCATCACAAGTACTCATACTCCACAGACTACAAATGTAGCATTATTTAATAACGAAATTATGAGTAGAATGTAGTAGATATTAGGTTTTTAGATGTCACATAGCTCTGTATGTCTAGACTGGAATTATGCTATCAAAAAGGATACGCAAAGTAAAGTAGGTGGCTATAACACTGACTTAACCTCTCAAATAGCTTCAGATGGATAAACTACTCACATTGCAAGATAGCAACCTATTTGTTTAAGTGTCTATTGGATATACAAAGAAGATAAATATCAAATGTAGACAGCATATAAAAGACTTCTTAATCTAATTAGCCAAATCAAGGTATAATCAATATGTGAGAATCTAGAAGTAAATAAGTATATATAGAGGAGCTATCAAATGTCTAAGACCAGCGGTAATCCTTTAGAGTATCAGTGTAGCATAGTGACTCCTGAATTAAGGATCTGTGTCTAGATAAGAACTGGTGCGATGTAGTCAAAGCAAAGGCTAATGGATACAAATGAACCCCATCCTATATAATCAACATGAAAGGTCTGTTTAATAGGGAAAGCCCACAAGTGCTACCATAAAGGCTCGCTCGATCAAAACCCCAGTCTCAGGGCTGTGTCAACCTCCTTTCCTATAACATTACAGACTTCCAGTGTAGGTTGTGTGTGGAGGTAAACGAACGGAGTATCCTCAAGCCCAGGAGGGGAAAGTCAGCAGGACAGGAGAAAAATACATTGCTTAAATGCCGGTTTACATGCTGCATTCGAGGCATGCTCCCCCCTTGCTGCTTCGCGGCAGCCCCACTAGACTAAAAAGATCCTAAGTCTATCAGGACTATAAAGTCACACCAATGTGACAACCATTATCAGGAAATAAAGTAAATGTTCAAAGTATATGCATCGGCAGCCCAACGCGCGTTTCGGCGGCAAATCCGCCTTTCTCAAGGAGCTGAAAAGATATCCACATAAGGACAGCAATTTAAAGGTATGTCCCGCCTCCCCCAGGGATAAACCAATCAAAAGGGTTCTCGTTGATGAGGATAATGGGCAAAGTAATTTTCTTGGATAGCTGGGTAACTTGAATATTTACTCTATTTCTTCCCAGTTCATATCATTTTGTAAATGAAACAGCTCTTTGAAATGTTTTGAAATAAAAGCCATGCTAGATCTTGCATTTCTTTGAATGACTCAAAGGTTTACACTAAATTATCTTGAAACCAGTGGAGAATTTTTGCATTTCTTTTTGCTTTGTGGTTTCCAAATTTTTAGAGGAACATTGATTGCAGATCTTCCTTTTGCATGCATCTGGTATTAGCGTAGCACACTCTGAGCAAGCTTTGCAAGAAGCTTTAGTAGGCACAGGTGTTGCCATTTCCTCCCTCTCCAAGTCTTTTGCAGAAGTTGGGCTAAACATCTGAAAATTAAGAAACGAAAATGCTTTTAAAGGAAAACAGAAGCCTTTAAAGTAAAGACATTTATCTTGCCTTAAAGACCATAGCACAGTAGACCCACAATGACACATGAAATCAAAAGGTGTAAGGTTAGAGTTAGAGTGAAATTTAGTTGATTTTAGAGGCTCAAGAACAGAGCTGTGGAAGATGGTCACCACTCAGCTCAATGGTCCGGCCCCGTCCCCCTATTCTGTGCTCTTTATTAAATGATTCAGAGTTCCACAAGTGGCCCACTTTAACTATGCTGTGCTTTTCTTTAAACCTGGAGTCATTCCAAATAAGGTACTTTTTCCATTAGCAAAGTTGCACACAAAAAAAAAAAAAAAAAATTATATATATATATATAATCCAAGCACTGGGAGGCATTAGACAAATTCCTGAAATTCTGCATTAGATCTCAACTTTATTTTATATAACAATTTCCATATTTTCTTCTATAAGTAGAGTTGATCACATGCCTCTAAATTTTCATAGGTCTAAATAGGGCTAATGAATTTTGGCATTACTACCGGTCATACCAATAGTAAACATTACATTTCTAAAACTCAAATATGGATTACAACTACCATCCACATGGCACTTTGGCTATTGACAAATTTACATTCCCCACTGTATGTAATGGGGTCAGCACACTAACACAGAGACAGTTTTCTCAAACACCATCGTTAAAATGTCCTCAAAATGCTCCTTTGGCAATATATAACCATATACCAGATGAAAAAAATAAATAAAAAAATAGTAATTCCAGCAGAATAACCAGTAGAAAAGTGGCTTTATTTTAAAATATAAAAGCAAATCAATTGTCCTAAGCATTTCCTCCTGATTCAAACTTCCTCGGGGATCAATATTTAAAATCAACATTAAAAACAAGCAGCCATAACCCTCCACATCAAGCCCCACTTTAAATTCCTCTATCTTTAACCCCATTGGCCCTGTGTGTGAGAGCTCCCTCCTCTCTCCTCTTGGAGAACCAATGGGGATGAAGAACTCAGCAATCAGTAAATGCTTAGTAAAGCGTTTCTTGTATTTTTTGCAAAGTTATAGTGATATGACGTAGAAACATAAGTAAAGGCTGAAAGGGATGGTCAGTCTCAAATCTTAGAAAGTACAATTTTCCAAAAATAAAATTATGACTAGGCAAGACCAGAAAACATGCAAGCTGGTATGACCCCACAAGAATCACCACACTCACTTAAAACTAAAGTCTGCTCTAAGTTTGCTAGTGGTTGTGAAGAAGTATAAATATATACTCCTCTGAAAATGTACAGTGTACACCAAACAACTGTTCAATTAATTTGCATTTGTAAGTAAAGAACAAGATTATTCTCAGCCAGGCCAACTAAATTAAATACATTTGGCAGGAAAACGGACCTACTCATTATGTATACACACTGTGTTCAGACTAGTCACAGTCTTACAAAAGGAATCTTGGAGGAAGGAATTGGTACCCTAGCTGTCCCACTACAGCTGCAACAACTGAATCGAACAAAAATCAGTTATGAAGATAGCTGTCCATGAAACTTATCAATTAGTTGGTCTGTCAAATAAGTGATGGAAGATATGGCAGATGTCCATCAACATCATTACCATGCCATTGGAAGATGGACATACAGCAACAAACATGGCAGAGTTAGCTGCAAAGTTTGAAATTTCAAATGGAAGTGCTTGCAGAAAGAAAGAGAGATGGAACAACAGCAGCAAATGCGATCTGTAACTACAGTTGCTGAACCTGCAATGTCTGTCTGTTTGCTTGACTCACTCCCAGAGTCTGGAGGCAGCAGTGAAAGGCAGCATGAGGACATCAACAGCCAAGTTAAAAATTAAGTCCAAGCTTACTTGGTTGAGAGGTCCTTAGCCATGGAGGAAAAAACAAAGCAAAGATAAATATCCAAGCTCGGTGAACTTGACAAAAATCTTACTTGTGCATCCAAAACACATCACCACTATCTGAGTGTCTCTTCTATGCAGCAGGCACCAAAGATTGCAAAAAAAAAAAAAACACAAACACATCAGCCAGGAGCATGTGGACATGCTGACATTTATGCAATTCAGTTTGAAACACTGCAAGTACTGAGAAATTGTTAATAGTGTGCTGGTGGATAATTTCACACGTGACACTGGCAGTCCAGAATGCTGTTCTGGTCTGTCAAGACTGTGCATATTTTTGTCTGTTGCTGGCTACATATGTCCTCATCTTCATTCTTGCAGGCAAAAATGCCAGAAAGGGGGAACATTGCTTCCTCCCTACCTCCCACACAATGTGAGCTCCCTCCCTCCATTGCCCTCAGTATATTTAAAATAAAAAATGATTTTAAAAAAGTGTCAAGCTTCTATGTATAAGTGAGGATTGCCAAGGTTAAAAACAACTTATACAGCTTCAAACACACAACAAGTCATTCAAAGATATTTTACAGTAGACAAAAAAATAAACAACATTTTATTGCACAGTTGGTAATATGGTAGCTGCTTTTTTTCCGACTGAGTAAGCCAATCGAAACAATGGTTTCGTTTTAACAAGTTGAAATATATTTGTAACGATAGGTACAGGAGGTAATGGGGTTTACGCCGGTGCAAAAGAAAAGCATGCTTTATGATTTGACAGACTGACGTTGCTCTTTTACATTTAAGCTAGCCAAGTTAAACCAGGAGCTTTGACATGAACAGAAGTCCACATACATGAACAATGGCCTTCAAGCCACAAGCAAAGTGTTAGTGCCTGAACTCTGTGTATTAATAGCAAGAGATGAAACAATAAGGGACATATTAAAAGCCTTGTGAAACTATCTTATTTAGCAAGAGATGTGGTGGAGAGTGAATTTTAGACTGCTGAAAAAGATTTGATGGATACACACAGATACACATTTCACATTTTTATTAAATGTAGGTCCGACCATGATCACCTCCATTCTGGACTACAGAGGAGAGTATTTCAACTTGCACTTGACATGTCATTTGTATCCTGATGAAACCTTCCATTAAGAGATTAAAATGTCAAAATTACCTTTATATGCCCTGCTTATGATTTTAAAAAAAAGTAGTGAAGATTCATACATATATATATATATTTACATAGCTGGGGTATGGAACCTTATTCCAGTAAATTTAACAAGTAGTTGCCAAGTTGTGTTTGATAATCTTCTCCAGCACTGTAAAACAAATTAGCTGTCCCTCATAAGGATAGATAGGAAGATTGTAAACAAGTGCTAGAAGCTAAACAGTCCTTTGGTTGTAATTACTCCCATCAGATATTGTCACTTGGAAATAAAAGAACGCTGAATGGAAAGCATCCGGTCACAATATTAAGTATCTCGATTTCTAAAGGTTTTGTTTTCTACCCGGCAAAATACAGCCAAGAAGTTATGTCCTTTGTTCCGCTGGACCTTTTTTCCTTCTTCAGTAGAGATGCCCAACTTGTCCACAATTATATCATCTGCCTAGAGGGGGGAATAATAAATAAATGTTTTTAAAAATTAAACAATTTAACATAAGAAGCATCTAGAAAATATCTAAATATGCTTTGAAAGTTAAAGAAAATTACAACAGTCACCCAGAAAACACTGCAGCCAAATCAAGTTCTTAAGGACAAAACCTCTTAAAATTCTTTGTCCATCAATCAAAGCAAAGGGTTTAAGGGTTCTTACTTTAGAATGGCTGGTTTCAGCAATTATCTTACCAGTTGTTCTTCAGAGACTCTCTCAAAAAGGGGATGCTCTACGAAGTGTTTCACCATCCAGTGGTGGACCTCCTCCACATCAGTTATAGTGTATACTAAGCCCTGGAATATGCAAGTACAGACATTTTGCATTCATTGCATCAACTCACATTTAGCTTTTAGATGAAAAAGTAAAAGAAGAAAAAAAAAATGTTTTGCAAGCAGAAATGCCAAAATATAGTCTACAAAGTATTTGATTACAGGAAGATTCACACACACACACATATATATATATATGTGTGAATATATACACACACATATATATATATACACACACACACACACACACACACACACACACACACACACACCATGGCCACTTCAACAGGTAAACACTTCATAAACTAGTTAAGCACCCATCTGTCCTTCCCTCAGTTCTTTGAGCATGGATTCAATAAGCTGCTGGAAAATTTTTGCAGAAATACAGCTATGTTGACATGAGAGCATCAAATAGATTTGGAGGTTTCTGGGGTTTTACATGAATGCGGAAAGTCTCCTGTTCCACCACATCCCAAAATGCTCTACTGGACCAGGCTGGTGAATGTGGAGGCCGTTAAGAGTACATTTAGTTTAATTGCATATATGAAGAAGCAGCTTGAAATACAGCGTCTGTTAAATTACTGTAAAACGATTGGCTGATTAAATATTTGCATTAAACGTGTGCTTGCCTAATAAAGTGGCCATGGAGTATACGTGTACATACAATGCATTAACAACCAGACACTCACCCTGCGATGCTTTAAGGCGATGCCGTAAAAGAAAATTAATTTAAAAATAGAGAACATATTTGCACAGATAGTTGTTTGTACACAGATTATTATCCTTGTGATATTTAGAGGAGTTTGAATGTTTTGCACAATGTACAGTTTGAGAAGAGGAGATGCTAATTGGCACAGTTTGATTATGTAAAAGCACTGGATTGGCGGATATGATTTAATGATGATCTGTGCCAGAGGAGTGGCGGCAGCAAGACTGGTGAGCTGGGGGAAATAAGGCAAGTAAATCTTATCTGCTTACCTATATAAGTAAGTTACATACAAATCTTTTTCACTTTGTTTTGTAAATGGGGCGCTACTGATTGGCTAGGAGAGCTGATATTGGGCACTGGTTTATACACTTTTGGGTTTAAACCGTTCAGTAACTCACTTCCTCTCTGCTAAAACCACCAGTTTTCAGGTAAGTACTACTCCACAGAGTTCTTTTCTAATAATTAAATTGCAAAAATCAAGTGTGTAGCAATCCTTTTCTCAGCATAAGTCCCCTTTCAGCTAGATCAGTAGTTAGCTGACCCGTAGGGAGGGTACCGGTTCCTTTAAACGGATAATAAATTAAATGCAATTCACTTTTGTCAACTTTGCAATTGCCATATCTAACTTTCACAAGATTACTGTTGTCAGATGAGAGGGGTTTTTCTCCTTTTTTGTCTTTTCCTTTGTTTTTCTCCCCCACCTCGGCCCTTTTGCTCTCTGTCGTTGTTGATAACCTTTATGTGTAGATAAAATATGAGTTGCCTATATTTAGGAGTTTTATCTAGTCTGTTAGGTTGTAATGAAAAGTGGTTTATTGACAGTGAGAAAGCGTAACGCTCTGAGGTCACAGACAATGCATCTGGAGTCTTGCTTTGGTGTGGCGTAGTGTGCATTGGGTCTAAAGGGGTGGACTCGGTACTTATGGCTGACTATGTTACGTAGATATTTTTCAGAGCTTTATGAAGGTGTGAACATTTAGGTGCGACTGATTAACATTGCAATAATGGCTGGTGTGAGACTCGTCTGTCTCCTAGTGATGGGGTAGTGGTGTGAAGAGACATTAAGTATGTTATAGTCAATTATTTAGTTGTGATATATCGCGATAGTGTTTTGATTTAGCTGCGTTCAGGAGGTGACGGTAGATTGATTTTTTTTATAGGCCGCCAGTGGGGATGGGTGGCATGGATAAATGCGTGTTCTATCTCAAAGGGTAGAGTTTTGCCCAATATTTCCGTGATTATGGTGCCTACCGCCTCCCAGTATGGTTTCACTTGGGGGCAGTCCTACCATATGTGTCGGATCGTTCCCTCTGCCTCCCCACACCTCCAGCATATGTTGGGTATATTGGGGAATACCCTGTGGACGTATTCCGGTGTGCGGTAGCAGGAGGAAAGGAGTTTGTAGTTAATTTCCTGGTATCTGGTGCTTATTGAGCTTTTGTGTGCTCGTATCAGGATTTTCTCCCACAAGGTGTCTGATATAGTCTTCCCCAGGTTGCCAGCATGCTCTGCGCTCTGACAACAGATAAAATTATTATACACTCCCTTTTTTT